CAGTTCACCAGATACATGTATCTGGTGAACTGGCCAAATCCTTGATTTTTTTCACGCAGTTTTGTTTGATGGTATGTCGGCCGCAGCTAGGCCTTCACGAGCTATTGTGGCGAATGACCCTGATAAAATGACTGAAATTCGTTTCTACAGAATCGAATAACCTCGGCGACTAGCCACGTGACTTGGGTTCGGTAAGGTGCGAAGAAAAAAACCTCGACCTCCCCATATCAGGAATGGCAGGGATTAGTGCTGTCCCCCGCCAAAGACGATCACATTCTTCGCTCTTTTTGGGCCCCTGGACCGCTAAATAGATCCCTAGCCTGGCTTCTACTTCGAATGACAGCTGTGGCGGTGATCGTGTCTTTAGTCCTTGGGGTCTTCGACGCTGCAACACTTGCTGTAGCTTGTTGCTCGTCAGTCGCATGTCCGCCGTTTACTCTGCAGCCGTTTATGTGTCCTCGCTACCTCGCTCTGCTAAAAATAGGTTAACGAACGAGTCATGTTAATATAGTACAAAGTCCAGTGCTTCTATTATTAATAGAAGGAGACGGAGACGAAGGGTACCAAAAATAACCATCATCATCTTGTCTTACAGCTGGAAAAAATAAAATCACGCTTCATTCAGAATACAGTCGTGCACCTCGTTTTCGGCCCCGGTATGGCTTAATAGCCTGCACAATCTAATGATTGGGCCACATGCATTGCGCAAATGAGTTGCCCATCTCCTTTGGACCAAATAACCTCAAGGAGGGATGAAACGCCGCACTTCCGCCACGATGTATCAGCTCAATCACTTCACCATACAACAGCTCTTTATAAATTTTGTCGCAAAAGGCCATGGCACGTCGCCCGTCCGCCTATTCTACGTTGAATCTAAGCAAACATTGTGCAGGAAGGCAGCCACAGAGCCATCATGGACACTGTCTCTGTTTTACAAAGGCGAGACGTATACCCCCGTCAATATTTATACAGCGATTAAGTGGTGCTCAGAAGGTTGGCAAGACGTATCGACAATGACCATACGAAACTGTTGGAATCACACTGGTACTATATCGAAGATGGAATTGAGATTTGTACTTAATTAAGGTAATACAAAGTAGTACATTTGGATTCCATCTGCTCCTCTATAAATATTCGCAGCTCGTAGACTCTATATGGTCCACCCCGCCGAATACGAGGTGCACAACTGTACATGTATTTGAAAGGCCTGCAATGCCACGACACGAATTCAACGTCGTCAAACCCTTCCGTAGTCATATAACGCGGGAAACAAAATAATATTCGTATTCTTGTAGTACAGTACCGATACTACCGGTACTGCACTGCATGTATGTGTAGTACAGTTCAGTACTTTGAAGTGTACAGTAAGCTATAGAGTTTCAAGACGAATAGAACGTGCTTGCATTCAAATTGGTTTCTCTGCAGTCGAGATCAAGACAAAAACACACTCGTTGTATTCTACTAGTATGTATGTATCACGGATAGTGATATAGGTGGAATGTTAGCAGCGACTAAAGGTAAGCAACAATCTAGCTTGCAGGGTAGGTCGTAGGTTTCTAGTTGTAGCGAGTGACTCGGCGGCTGTTTAGAGGCTGAACCGGGCGAGCGTTGTTGCCGTTGTCCGTGATGTGGTACTCAACCAGGTCCTGGTGAAGACGGCCGAAGTCGACCGACGAGATCTTGATCGGGTTCTGTACGACCCACCAGTCGGCATTTTCACCGCAGCCAGGCGTCGTAAGACTGCCAGGGTAGTTGTAGATGCCTCCTGTTCGGCACGCCTGGCGAACCATCGTTGAGTACGATTTCCTGTGTTTATGCAACATCAAAATTGTTAGTAAGAATCCAGAAAAGTAGTATTCTAGAATGTTGGAACTTACAGTTGCACCACAACTGCGGCAGAGCGTTCGTCAGTCGAGTTGACGTGCTCAAGAGCGTCAAGCACAGGGCCCAGCCACGGGTCCGACTTGGGGCCGACCTCAAGGAAGATACCCACCACCAGAAGAGCCTTGCCATCGGCAGACGCGTGCACGAAGTGAATCTCACCGTCCAGAGGCTTGCCGTTCAGAGTGTGCTCCGAGGGAGCGTGCAGGTGGAATTGGGCCAAGTTGTACGAGGCATCGTTAAGCGAGACAGCACAGTTGCCTATTTTAGCAGAACCAAACGCGTTAGAATCTACAACATATCACATGATCAGGTCCGTCACAATGTCGTTACCTCCAACAACGTCGACCTCCAGAGGCTCGGCGGGCGCAGTCAGGTTGTACGTGGGACAGCGTCCGGTGAAGCTGAGCGGGTTCGCCCTGCCCTTGCCAGACTTGGCTGACGTGACGATGTCAATGGGCGACTGACGCTTGCCACCGCAGGCAGACCAGCTATCGGCCCACTTGTCGGTGTTCACCATACTGGCGTCGTTGGCACAGTAGCCCCACACGGGACCAGTGGAAACGTCAGCGGAGACCGTGAGAGCGCAGGCAGCGGCAGCAGCGGCGACGGTGGCGATGAACTTCATTTTGTCGGAACGCAAAAGGATCGGAGAAGGCAAGTTGTTGCGTTGAGAGTGAATTGAGGAATGAGGAACTTGGAAACGTTGAATTGCGGTGAGGAACGCCCGCAAACCAACGAGGAACCGTGTTAGGATTGGTAGGACTCAACGTGCCCACAGAAAATCCGTGATGGCATGGCGGAATACGGTGCATGTATGTGGAGACGAACACGCAGTGGTATAATAAGGACGTTCCCGAAAGTATGATAGGCTGCCGCAGCAACAGTCGAGTCAGTCGGGTTTTCCAGTATCATTTGCTATAGGCACTTTGTAAGCACTTGCATTATTTTAATCGATTCGAGAGAAACTCTGAAAATACGTATAGTCGCAGTTTGTTTAGGATTCAACAACTCGACGATTTTGAAAACAAATGCTTTGCTGGACGTTGTATTAGTAGACAAAATACCAAAAACACCGTTCGAAACGGTGTGCAGCACCCTCAAACGCATAATAGCACCTTCCGGGGAGGGGCGACGCAGCTATGGCGCCAACTAAGGCGAGCGGGTGCGAGGTCGCGTAGCCGCAGCAAACCCGCGCGGGGAGCCCTTGTTGGATTGTGCATCGAGGAAGCAGAGCAACTGACACAAAGTAATTCAGTCTTCATATTTTCCCTTTGCAAACAAGGAGTTTGTTTGTTACTTCGCGGGGCGTGTCTAAGAGCCACAACTCCCAACAGCCCTCGAAGCAGGGCCGCGCGGTATTTGCGGAGGCGGGCCCAGCGCCGAGCTCACCAGCGAGCCGCGCATTGCACTTCCCAGGTGAGAGAATCTATTAATCGCGAGCGAAGCGAGCCCCAGCCAAGCGAAGCGCGGCTGGTAACGACCTCTTACATTATATAGTGTCTTTCAGCCGGGTAATCCCCCCCGGCTGCACTTACGAATGCCAAGTCAAAACAAAGCTTAAGTGTTATCCTGCAAAACAAGGTGTTTTTGATGCGATCTGTCCAATTGAGTGGCATAAAAGAGAGCCTGGACACGAGGGTAGGCTTGATGGGCTCTGTTTGATTTGGTGGGTCCGCGTTCCGCACGTTAGCAACTGAACCTGACGGTTTGCTCCAATCTCGATTCGAGATAGTGTTTGACTGGAGCTTCCAAGGACTGTGCCTTTTCTCGCTTCGAAGTTTGGTACAGGTATTAAAAATAATTCATGCTCTGGTTCATACATGGAGTAGAGACCGAACACTGCAAGTCGCACGCCATTCGGTTTTCACGAATCTGACATGCTGGTAAAGATCATGTCCGACTGTACTTGTCTCGCGCCTGTACAGTAAACAGAATGGCAGGAGCTCCCTCGTTGCATTGCAAATTGAAGAACGGTACTCAGAATTCCACGCTGTTCGTTTAAGTTCGTTTGAGTACATGTATCGGATACAATAACAGTGGAATTGACGTCGGACTGCACAAACTCTGTTAGCACGATGTGGTCTTCAATACATGTACCACATCACTACTGTCCTTTGATATCTGTACCGCTTTAAAGTAAATGCAGGTCATCCACCGATATCTTTCTTTCAACAAGAGGTAGAACGCTATTCCTCATAGCCTCCCATCGTGGCACGAGTGGAGGTGACGTTGATCCGTTAGCTAAGCACCAGTTGAGCGTCACAGGAGCGGCGTCGGCAGATTTTTAAATTTAAAATGCAATGAGGAGGTATTCACGTCCCGACGGGTACATACCGGCACAGTATTACCGCCGAATTACTATTGTTCCTGTGCTCGGCTCACTGAGATTGCTTGAAAGACCGTAAAGTGCCTAGCCCGATTATAATAATAGTAAAGGGGTAATACGTACCATGGTACTGTTCGCAATCTTGCGGAGTGGTGGGGGGGGACTCTCTAATGGAGTTAAAGGCTGCAGCTTTCATCATCTTGCTCGGTTTTACCACCTTTTAGTTTTTCGAGCTTAGTTACCTTGGTCCAGGGCTCTAGCTTTGGTAGCAGGACTGCAACATTGATCTCAATAAAATTAAAGAGGTTATCCGTTGATCTTTTCCTTCCACAGCTGCTGGTTTAGCCAATGTCGTTTTATTAATAATAAATAGTCAAGACAAACCTCGCAGTGATTGCGGCTTCATGTCCGCAATCTTCGACTGTTAATCTCGCAAATCAAACTCGCTGCCGTAAACAATCCTTCACTGCACAGTGTAGAGACGACCTCATTTCCCGCCACCTAAACTTGCAGCGTGTCTTTTCCCGCCACCTAACCTTGTAGCCGCTACAGTAGCGTGTCTGTCCGTCTGTCAATAAGTCCGTCCGGTTCCTTTCTTGCTGCTTTTTGCCTTTCCGCATGGCTACACTCGGCCTATCTTATACAGTTTCCTCCCATCCTACCGACCGCGCCTATCTTTCTGACTCGACCTAACTTTGCCAAAATTACAAATATGGCCAAAAAGCGGACACAATTAACTCGCGCCTGATTGGGCAATACCTGCCGACCTGCGACACTGACTGGATCTTTCGCACGATCAGACCGCCTCTCGCCCTCACGATTGGACGGACGTAAGGCAAACATTTCTGCCGAGGACGAAACGCATCGATTGGCTGCAAACAGCCAGGCGAGCTGTGCAGATACTTGATTATTGTAGGATAAGTATATTCCTGACGGAGACCCCACCCCGTACTGTAGGCTAAAAAAATCCACAGCCAATCGCTGGACAGCATTAACTTTTATTTGCTCAAACCACCCAATAACCGCTATTTAGGGGTAGGGGTAGTTTATTCCAGCTTATTTCCGGAATTGTCCGGCTTTCTCGACATTTCGCGATAAGACGCCTTAGTAAAATCAAGTCACATCATGTATTATCGCGTAAAAGGCGTCTGTACCAGATAAAAAATTCATGCGGTTGAAGAGTAAATATAGACTAAAACTTCACGATGAGGCGCCATGCAACCGACCAGCTTGCATTACGCGCGGGATTCACACTGCGAGAGGCAATGAGGAGAGCTTCGCGAGGTCTGGACACTCCTGCTGGCACAAGAGGGCAAGAGATTGCGGCGGAGAAGATGTTTGAGGAGTTCCTCACTTCAATCGGATTATCGAAAGTCGATTTAGATGGCATACATAAAGCTCATAGAGAATTAGCTAGTCTCCCGACCCAGAACATGTACTCATTGCTAACAGCTTTTTCGATTTACATACAGACGAAGAAAAGCAACAAGGCGAGAGCGGCGGATGGACTACTAGCAAAATCGACAGCGCTAGGGTATTTTTCACAAGTTGTGAACATGCTTCGCGAGCGCTACACCAACTCTCTTGGTGACCCTAAGAGAATTGCCAAGATTCGGGACAAAATGGCTAGCTACATAGAAGAGAGGAATTTGCGCGCAAATGTGCAAACCAATGACGCTCCTGGGTGTAACGTGGATGATCTAAGTGTACTCGTTGGGTATCTAATTGCGAAAGCTGACGTGGCTACCGGTTTGAAGTCTTTACATGATGCGGCTCTGTTAACTATGATGTGGCATACATTTGGAAGAGCTGTCGATACCTGCTTTGCACGTAAACAACAGCTCTCGATTTCAGCTTCTGGAGAGCTTTTCCTACACATTGCCCGGATCAAAACCTCTATGGTTCAAGGCACTTCAATATATAAGTCCCCGGAGAGATGGCAGCAGTGTATGCTTCACGCATTCGGGTTGCTGTTTATCTGCTACGACGAGCCCTCCGAATATTTGTTTCCGTTGGCACCTAATTTCGCAGAGTCCGACCTTCCTCGTAATAAACCGTATTCACAAGAGGAAGCTGTTTTGTACTGGGGTCAACTATTAGAAGACGATAACAGCACGTCGGAGCCGCCCCAAAAGCGAGAGAGGAAGAGACCAAATATCGCAAGTTATATTACCGAGGTCATTAGAGATTCGTTGAAGTCGATGCCTCCTGGTCTCAGCCAAACGGTGACGCCGAATATGACCAGCCACTCCATTCGCCGTGGAGCCGCTGCGTACGCCAATGCGTCGCCGAAGCTGTCGATTCAGTGGATTTCTACTCGCGGGGTTTGGCTGTTGGAGTCACTAACCAAGGCGTTTGCCTACATTGGAACGACAACAAAGGAGGATCAGAGCGTAGCCAAAGTGTTAGCAGGGTACCAAGCTCCAGACCTACCTGTGGTAACGCCGACATTTCGTGACCTACAGCAGCGTTTGACGGTACTGGAGTTTGGTCAGCTTGTGACCCTTCGAGACTAGCTGTACCGCCACGTACTTGGTTTCCAGGACGCTCAATTTAATGTCGCATTGGACGTCGTTGATTGCACGTTTGCATCGCTGCTAATGCACATGGATGAGGTTCGCATCCACATCGAAAACACCACCAGCACCTCGGTCTCGTCGCGCTACATGTACGAGCTGCATCGCGGTATCGCCTCTTCAAACGCTCGTCTTGGCTCCTGCATCACGATACGAACATGCTGTGAGTGGGGGGGGGTACCTGAGAGCTCACTGGAAGACGGCAAACCACGTGCAGCTTAGCAATGCCGTCGCTGGTAACGACACGCTGCTATCATCCACTCTTAACAACATGTTAGCCCAGCTTGTGAACATTAGCGAGCGACTTGGTCGCCTTGAAGACTCGCAAGCCCAGATGCAGAGCCAGGCCTTAGGGAGTACTCAGACGCAACAGCAGTCACCACAGCTACCTACGGCTGTTGAGGTTGTCGTCCCAGCTTCAGCATCAGCGTCCACCCTTGCTGGATGCCTGCTCAACTGGTACACTAACCACATATGGCAAACGGTTAAAGGTAAGAAGGAACAAAACCAGCGTGCCGAAGCAAAGGCAGCAGTGAACATAATGATGGTACTGTACCAGAAGCCGTACCAAGTCCCAGAGGAGCCTCCACGAGCCGACGTCGCAGCTTACAGTGCCTGGAAGCACGTAGTCTGGGAGCTGGCACTCAAGCTGGATACAGCCGCGAACCAGCGTCTCCACGCCTTCGACCAAAAGAAACCAACTCGCAAAGCTTCGTCCCTTCGCAAGCGCTGGCGCCTGCTGCGTACGTCGCATCCTGAAGCGTATCGCTCG